TTTTGCAGTACTGGGGGTCAAACCCAGGGCCTGATGCAAGCTAGGCAAGTACTCTGCCACTGAGTTATTTTACCCTCAGCCCTGGTAGGTCAGTTTTGATTCAACCAAAGAAAGTGAGTTCTAATGATCAGAATTAAGCAATGACATAATAGGTCACATTAGAATACAATGAACATCCATCCCTTTTCCATTAAGAAAAGACTGGAAAATACTTGCAAAGCTCCTTGTATTTGGCCCTAGAAAAGCTGAGCTTCAGGTGAAGCTTAACACTTTCCTTTGGGTTCCCTTCCCCCTCTAGAGTGCCTTGAGAGCATGATGCTCTGCGGTGGCCTGCCACCTTAGAAACCACCTCCCAGAGAAGGCACTTGGGTCTGAGTGACTCTCTGAGACAAAACAATGGTTTTGGAAGATGTGGTCTGGCTTTGAGGAAAGGCTAGATGTCCCTGTGGCTTTGTTGCAGATCCAAAAATCACAGGTGCCCCAGGGGCTTCTGGGAGGTTCCCTCTGGCAAGCAAGAGGACCCAATAGGGAGAAGTCATAGGGAGAAGGCATTGTCCTGGGAGCAGATCTCCTGGTGGCTTTGATGACATAGTGGATTGAATTGTAGCTTCTCAAAGGATATGAATACCCATAACCAGTGATTGTGACCTGATGTGAAAAAAAAGGGCCTTTGCAGATATAATTATGTAAAGGATCTCAGGACAAGATCCTTTGAATTAGCCAGGTGCCACTATGGCGAACGCCTTTAATCCCAGCCACTTGGGAGGCTGAGGCAGGAGGTTTTCGAGTTCAAAGCCAGCCTCAGGAATTTAGTAAGGCACTAAGCAACTCAGTGAGACCCTGTCTCTAAATATAACACAAAATAGGCCCGGGGATGTGGCTCAGTGACCAACTGCTCCTAAGTTCAATTCCTAGTACCTCCCCCAACCCCCTGAAAAAAAAAAGATCATTTGAATTAGGGTGGGCCATATATTTGATGACCAGGGTCCTTATCAGAGAACAGAAGAAGGGAGGACACCCAGAGAAGAAGGTAAGATATGAAGACAGGCAGAGTGGTGCAGAGATAAACCAAGGAGCCCTCATAGCCACTGAAACTAAGAGAAGGCATAGGACAAACTCTCCCTCGAAGCTTCCAGAAGGACCAATCCTACCACAATCTCGATTTCAGATTTCTGTTTTCCAAAACTGGATACAATGAATTTCTGCTGTTTTCAGCCACCAGCTTGTCTTAGCAGCCCCAAGAAATTCATACAGCCTATCTTTCTGCCATCTTGAATGCTCTCATGTTCCTTGGGCTGGGTCATTGAGGGGACTCATGGTCTCACTGGGGTTTCTATTGTATTTGTTAACATGTGGGATTTGTTGCTCCTGGGAGGCTGTTGTTTTAGAATCCTCACTGCAAAGTACAGAGCTCACTCTTCTTTACCCCCAAGTTCTTCCCGGGGTCTGCTTCCTTCCGCATCAGGCTCAATTTCATTGTACACTTTTGGGCTGGTTTTTTTTTTTTTTTTTAAATCATTTAATGACATCTTAAGCCACAACACTAAGGAGCACAGGACCATCTGATGCCCAGGGCCCAGGTCCTGTGGGGTGCCAGGGTGGGGAGGCAGTGGGGGAAAGAATGTTTTTGAAAACCACCTTAAAAAGAAAAAGTGGACCCAAGCATGCAATCAGCAGCTTTCGGCCACATTCTGCCAGCCGTAAATTTAATCTGTTTTGACCTGGACACAGCTGTTTTCCTCTGTCTTCAGCATCTTATTCTGAACTGCAGTGGCCAAGTGCCCTCTGTCATCGGCTGTGAGTTTTCATGCTGAAAGACACTCTAATGAGACAGTTGGCACCACATTCTGCACCTCGGTGGGTATTGTTCCCTCAACAAAGTTTTTAGTTAACGAGTTTGGGGGTTTTGATCTCAAAAGCACTGGGGAGATAAGCCAGCAGGCCCAGCAGTGACATGCCTTTGGAGACAAGCCTGAGCCAGTTCTGTTTCCAGAAGCTGATGATCAGCCCCCAAGGAGCCTGGAAGTGGCCATGCAGGAAGGCAGGGGATGCTGGGTTACTCTTCCCCACCCTCTACTACCTCCATCCAAGCCCCCTGCTTTCTCCTGGGAAAAGAACAGAATCCCTGGGTGTGATTCTTTGAGCTCCGGTGGCCCCATCCTGCTTTTCAGACAGAAGCGTTTCTTCTTGTGCAGCCCAGGATGAGCACGGAAATAAAGACATCATTCTTTAGGGGACCTCTCTTGGCATCACCCTCATGCACCAGCACTGGGGAGCCAGTCTCTGGCTCTGAGGACAGACTACCCATTTTTCCTGTCTCCTGGCAGGTGACATCCAAGGAACGCTTGTGCTGGACCCTGTTGCTACAGAATGTCAAATACACTGGCTCTTGTGGAAACTCCCTGGCCCAGGCTTGGGTGTCTGAAGAGCTGGAGCCTTTCAAATTCTCAGAACTAATAAGAACCTTTCAAATCTTTTCCTTTCACTCTTTTTTTTCTTCTTCTTTTTCCTATAATATGATTTTCTGTGTAAGAGCACCAAGTACTGAATTCTGCATAAAATGAAGAAGGCTGTCAAAAAGCCAGAAAGAAAGAGGAAAATCCAATGCTGTCCCCAGCAGCAATAACCAGAAGGTATAACCGACCCTGCCCTGACTCAGCAGGTGAGCCCTACCTGTGCCAGCCTAACTTGCCACCAGTCCTGCGGCCCTGCGTGGTAACAAGGAACTCGAGAGATGGGGCACTCTGTAAATGACGCAACATTTATACAACATCCATTTACCTTCCACGCACCTCTGCTTCCCTTCTGAATTCCTGGCAGCATTTGACTTCCAAGGAAGCCTCTTTTGCCTATGGAATTCATTTCCTCATCCTCCCTTGGAGAGGATACGACCTCCTGTGAGCGGTGGTTTGTGGCAACAGATTGCAAACTGGGGAAGAAGGCTGCAATCCGGAGGCAAGAGAGGTGCTGGGAGAGGGAGGGTCTCTTCCCTGGAAAAGCAGCCTGTTTAATGGAGTCCTTAGCCATGCAGAGGGCGGGGTGCTGTGGGGAAATGCAGGAAGCCGCTGCCGTATGAAGTGTAAATATGATGATTGTTGTCTCTTTCACGGGAGGTAAATAAATCAGCTCGATGTAGATTCAAGAGGTGGCTGGTGATGCTGTGTACTTACAAGGCGTCCGGAGCCTGGCCTCTTCAGAGTGCTTCAGACGTTGATTCATTACACCTTCCACCAGCCGGCGGAGGGAGGGAGGGGGAGAGTTATTATCCCTGCTCCAAACCAAGGGACCCAGAGAGGTTAAGAGGCAGTAAGTTGGGAGGAGAAAGCGCAGCCCCGGCAGCCCAGGCAGCGCTCCCGCCACTAGATCACGCTTCACTTAGAAACAAGTAATTGTCAGGTAACCTATTTTTCGGGGTCTAATTTCAGCATAGGAGGGCTTTGTCTCCTTCATATCTGAAAAATGTATGAGCTTATGGAGCAGGGAAGAACGAGACTTTAATCATGTGCCACTCTTGTTTGGGGGCTGAAGCTTCTGAGGGAGAAGGAAAGTCTCTTGGCTGTGGGTTCTGCCCAGCAGGTGATGCTGAGACGGTGCGGTGCGGTCACCACTGGGGTTGGCAAATGGGTCAGAAGCACAGAGTCCCTATCATCCCAGGGCTAGAGTTCAATCCTGACTGTGAAATATAGAAGCCAGGCAGTTTTAGACCCCAGAGGGGCAGACAATGCTCCCAAGATAATTCCCTGTGGGCTTGCTACCCTAGAGTCTGGGGCTCTCCTTACCCCAAATCCTACAGCTCACCCAGGGCACTGGAGAATGGGAGGCACTTTGCTGGCAGAGCTCTGTCATGTGGGTTACCAAGGAACAGGCGAACAGAGGAAACTGCCTGCAGTGTCCCCGAAGACCAATTTCCTCCAGCCCCAGCAAGTACAGAGATCCTCCAGCAAGTCCCAAATGACAGGGTGGCTGCAGCTTAGCGTCTGTCCGATGGCATCACAGATGGATGCGAAGCCAGCACCTCCTCCGGGCACTGGGGGAGAGAGTGGAGGGGCCTGACCCGCCTGGCTCCTTATCTGAGGGAAGTCACATCTGGCACACCTGCCTGGGCATCACCTCCTGCTCCTGGTGTGTGGAGGGGAGAGAAAGCTGTAGGAAGCCTCTCCTCTGTTTACTTAGCCCAAAGCCACGGGGCCCAGACTGAGCCCAGTATATTGGGCAAGCCCTGGGGGATATTGCAGGAAACTTGCCACCATTATCGAAACCCGTCGCTCACCTGCTCTCCCCTCCTCTCCCTCCCTCCCCTCGTTCTCTGCCCCCCTGCTCGCTTGCTCTGCTCTCTCTCACTCAGCCTCTCTGCTGAATTCTGCATTGACATCAGCACTTCCAAAAACAACAACAAAGGAAAGTAGGTCACTGGCGGTGCCAGATCAGAGCTGGCCCTGGTGCCGGCTGAGTCCGGGATGAAGCCCATCCCAGGGAGAGCAGAGGGACGCCACCGACCTCTGTGCGCACGGTCTTACAGGAGCTTGGTTTCCCCTCCTATATATATCCTTAGTAGGCAGGGTAGGTGCGTATGTGGTTTGTGTGCTGGCATGCTGGCTCACGGATGGGGACAGGGTGATACTTCTGCACCACGGGCAACATCCCAGTCCTTCCCTCTGGTCCTGGTGCACCTGGACTTGGGAGTAGGAAGCCAGCCGCCAATGCACGTTCATTGACACACGCGTGTGCACAGGCCCGTGCGTGCTGCCTTCTCCTCCCTGTTTTTCAGGGGCTTCACACATAATATTGCTTCTGCTCTCTGAGGCCATAGAACTCCCAGTTCTACTTGAAAGATTACCCAACACGCTAATTGGGACTCCTGCTATGATTAAAAAGAAATTTCAGATTAGAGCCACCATGCCATAGAGCTCAGCAAGAAAACAGCTCTTTATAAGCCCAGCAGGAGCGGACTTTGGTTTATTTTTTTCTAACTTTGAAAGAAGATGCATCTTGCTGTTGTTTTGCCCAAGAGAAATCAAGTACAAATAGTCACTAGGTAAGGCCCACAGCATAAAGACAGGGGCAGTGGCCCAGAAGTAAAAATTATAGACTTTCCCCCTGCTTTTTGCATACAAAGACCACAATGGAGTTATTTCTGTAGGCCTAGATCTTGCCTCCACCAGCACCTTTGGCCCCGATTGGCAGATGCCACATTCAGTCTGGGTCAGCCTTCACCTAGCATAAAGCTTTTCTGAGAAGTCGAGGGTGAGGTGCATATTTCAATCTAGCTCCCTGAAGCCATTAACTCTGGAGGTCCCCAGAGGTGGCTGGGGGCGGGGAGTGTTGGAGCTGTGGTCAGTCAGAGCCCTGCACTTCTGAATGATTTCACTCACAGCTCTGAGCCCACAGCATCTGCACTTTCAGATCTCATTAGCTGAGGGGTGGGGGGGATACACTACTGCTCTCCTGGGCAATCTACCTTTTAAAGCATCTTGGGGGGGGGAGGGAGAGTCCTTCCAACTCTCTCTATGCCAACCAGGAGCCCCAAACACCCATTCTGTAGTTAAGATTTTAAAACTTTGACATTGAACCCAAACCCTCATAAAAGGGAGCCATTTGACTTTATGTAAATAAAGCATCCCCTTAATATTGGCTTCATTAAAAGACCCAAGAAAAGAACATCAGGGTTTGCTGATGGAAGAGTGTAATTGTCTTTAAGGGTAATTGGCTAGTTATGGCAGATAATTGCCTGCAAATAATGGAGAGATAGGTAATAAAGGGGAAGAGGACTGCAGAGGGGGACTGGCACACCTAAGCAGCCCCTCGGCCTGAGTAGGGCTGTGTCAGGTCTAGGATTGTGTTGCCAGACTCTCTCCACAAACCATCATTCCTAGACTTTTGAAACCCCACAGAGTAGTAAAATTCCAAAAATAATTTGGAGGTCCTTCCTTGGGTTGCCAGTATGTTCTTTGGCCAACTGAGAAATAGCACCAGCTAGGCACCACTATCATGAGTTCATACAATAAATATCTTTTTAGAACACCCTCTCCTTCCTACAACCAAATGAGAGGATGCAATTTCAGAATAAGGGATTATCTTTAGATTGAATAAATTTGGCTTAATGAAAAGCTCACTACATTAATGTTTCTTTGCAAATCGTTGAAATCGGAGTCGCAGGCTCCCCTTGTCTTCAAACTAGCATTTGGCAAACACTGTTCCTGGGGAGCTTTGCTTCTGCCAGTTGCACAGCTTCTAGAATGAGAAGAAAACAGAAGTGCCTGGATCAAATTCTGTCGCTATCTTCTGGGCGGCTTTCCTTCCTTCCCTATGCCCGTTTCTCTTGGGTGAGAAAGTTGGGAAGAAGACAATTTTGTCAAAACCAAATTGGTTGAAAGCACAAATTCGTCAAGAATGATGATTTCTGCCACCACCTTTGCAGCTCCTGGTACCAATTTTGCAGGAACAGCTAAGTATAAATTACCCCAAAGGCAGAGCGCCACCTACGTTTCAGGGTGTAAGGTGCAGCCATGCCTAGGATTAAGGAGTCTGCTGCACCAGGCTCTCTCCAGACATCTACACATTCCAGAAGGCCTTGCATTGAATTCCAAAAGGTTTATGGGTTCCCTACTCTTCCTTCATACCCCCAGCCTTTGTGGAGAAGACCCTGGTTAAGAACACTGACTCTGGAGCTGGGTATGATGGCACATGCCTATAATCCCAGTTTATTTATGAAGGTGGAGGTAGGAGGATCCAAGTTTGAGGCCAGCCTCAGTGACTTAGTGAGATCCTCTCTTAAATAGTAAAGAAAGAAAGGAAGGAAGGAAGGAAGGAAAGAAGGAAGGAAAAAAAGAAAAAAGGAGCACTGATTCTGGGCAAACATTTCTCTTATTTCTCAGTCTAATGATAAAATTATACTTAAAATCCTAAAGCTTTTTTCATAAAAGGAAAGCAACAAAATTGACCACTTCTAGGAACTGGGGATGTAACTCAAAGTAGATCACTTGCCTAGCATGTACCAGGTCTTGTGTTCAATTCACACACACAAACACACACACACAATTGACCCTCCTTTGTCCCTGTTGGAAGCTCTATTTCTTATCAAAGTTTCTCTCTTGCAGGCTGTGGTGGTGCACGGCTACGATCCCAGTGACTTAGAAGCTGAGGTAGGAGGATTGCAAGTTCAAAGCCAGTTCAGCCATTTATTGAGGCCCTAAGCAACTTAGCGAGATCTGTCTCAGAATTAAATAAATAAATAAATAAATGGTAAGAGGGATGGGAATTTAGCTCAGTGGTTAAGCACCCCTGGGTTTAATCTTTGGTACCAAAAAGAAAAAAAAGTTTCTCTCTCTCTCTTTCACAAGTGCTCTACCAGTAAGACACATTTCCAGTCCCTCAAAGTTGTTTTAATACTAGAAAATTTGACCTAAATAGGTAAAGTAAATATCATTAACTGAAAATAAATTAAATTAAAGTTTGAAAGACAAAATAACACCATGTTACTTTATTCTTTTCTTTCCTTCTCTCTGTGTGTGTGTGTGTGTGTGTGTGTATGTGTACGTGTATGTGTGTGGTACTGGTAATTGAACCAAGGGATGCCACATCCCCAACCCTTTTTATTTTTTTATTTTGAGACAGGGTCTTGCTAAGTTTCTGAGGCTGGTCCTGAACTTGAGATCCTTCTGCTTCTGCCTTCTGAGTGGCTGGGATTACTGACCTGCACCCTCTGCTAGACTCTTTCTTTCAACATGATGTTACCATTGGGTAACACTTCCCAGTACCTTTTTGTTTCAACTTCCCCAGAAACTATGATTAATTCCAAAATAAAAAGTTAAGAGATTAAAAAAAAAAAAGGAAAATTTTTCCTAAAAACAAATTGTAAAAAGTTGTAATATCACCTGGAACAAATTAATACATGAACTAATGGTTGCCTGTTCATTTCTTAAGCCAATTTGCTATTGAACTACTTTTTAAAAATTGGGAACAAAATTTAAAAATTCATGAAAATATTCCAAGCAAGCAAAATAGACATATTTGATTAAAAATGAATATGAAGATTTTAACTTAATTTTCCAAATGAACCAAAACAATGAAAAGAAAATACAAATTCCCAGAAGAGTCACAGGATTCACAAAAGCTCTGAGAAGAGGCCCAAAATAGATTAGCACAAATGCTTGAAGCACAAAGAGAAGAAAAAATGGAGGATGGGGGATAGCTAGAAATACACCCATTTTAAATGGTTCTTGCAGGTTTCATTATAAAGGTTTTTTTTTTTTTTCTTTTTTTCTTTTGTGGTGCTGGGGATCAAACCAGGGTCTCAACACATGCTGGCAAGAGCTCCACAATTGAGTGACACTCTACTCCTCACTGTCAGCTTTGAGTCACCGTTTGTCCATGGACTTCCATTTACCTGGTGGCAACAGACTCATGGTGCCCTGTAAGAGGAAGGACAACATGGCCAGGTCCTTCTCTGCCCTGCTATTGGCATCTGTTGTATTGAACATGAGATTCTTATAAAAATAGGGACCCATAGGGCTGGGGTTATGGCTCAGCGGTAGAGCACTCGCCTTGCATGTGCAAGGCCCTGGGTTCGATCCTCAGCACCACATAAAAATAAATAAAAGTTATTGTGTACAGCTACAAAAAAAATAAATAAATATAAAAAAATAAGGATCCAGATGAGGTTGTTAAGAAACTGGGGAAACAGAGTCACTGACCCATTCAGCCCCTGTAACTGAATGGGAGAGCACTGTGGCTCAGTGGCAGAGCACTTGCCTAGCATGGGTAAGGCCCTGGGTTCCATTTCCAGCCCCAACTACTACCCCCCGCCCCACACACACACACTCAAAAGAGGGGGCAAAATGAAAAAGAAAATTGGGGGAAACAACATTGTCTTGTTGGGAATTTTCTGCCAACTATGCTCCTGATCCATCTATTTTTCTTTCATTCCTTCTCTCTCTCTCTCTCTCTCTCTTGCTTTCCTATCTGTATACTGGGGGTTGAACCTAGGGGTGCTCTACCACTCAGCCACATCCTCAGCCCTTTTTATTTTAAATTATGAGACAAGGTCTCACTAAGTTACTGCCCTGGATGGCCTTGAACTCCTGCCTCAGCCTCCCACATTTCTGGACTACAGCTGAGTGCCACCACATGCAGCTGCTTTCCTATTTTTGATGGAAAAGAAGGCAGGAAGGACAGGCTCTTGTCAGCTCTCTCAGTCGCTGGGTTAGCAATCCCAGTTGACCTTGTTTGGGAAATTTTGAGGGACTGGGACCCAGAGAGAACCTCTAGGAAAAACAAGAGGAAAGATCTACTGACTTTCTCTCATAGGCTTTTGCAAATTACCTTTTCAGAGCTCGAAATTCCTGAGGGTAAAAAGGAAGAGTTGTATTCCCCAGTGTGGGCCCATCTTGCCATGGATCATGTGGCACGGGGCCTCCACTAGTGACAGCTGGGGTTTGGGACTTGCCAGAGATGCTTGGATTGCTTCCACTTGGGAAAGGAAGGACAGCCGGCGGGGCAGAGCCTGTCTTGGACTCAGAAGCATGGGTCTGAACGACTAGAAGATCCCATTTCTTTACACTGTTAAGTGGGGATTGTAATCAAATCTCCCCAGAAGGGACTCTTCTGTTTGTTGTGAGGTTGTATCTGAGGGGAGGGCTTTAAAATCCTTAAAGACTCTCCAACTCCAAGTTGGCATCACATTTTAAGTTGCCAATGGTCTTTGGAAAATAAATGATTAAGGAGGAAGATCTGCAGGAGGCAGGGCTGTGGCCTGGCTGGAGCCTGTCTCAGGGGCTGAATGGGTCAGTGACTCTCAGAAATGAAGCCATTTCTGATGGAGAAGGTCAAAGAGGGAGTTAGCCAGGGTGGGGTGGGGGGGGGGTTGGTTCTGTTGGCCCCTGGGAAGGCTGAGGTCAACATGGGCTCAGTGTGAGGTTGGAAGGGAGAAGACAGGAAGCAACAGCTGAGTAGGAAGGATTTCCAGAAGATTCCCCCATGCATCAGCCTGAGGCCAGGAGGGACAGCTAACTTGGGGTGAGGTGAAGGGGTGGGGAAGCTGGCAACAGGACGATTTTGGGATTAAGGGATGGCTCATATAGGCTTGGAGGATGCAGCTGCTATTCCCTGGCAGTTTGTCACCAGGAGGATGGCACGGAAACTCCAACTAGAGTCGGCCACTCTCTGCCCAGTCCCCTCTCTGTGCAGACTGGGACCCACCCGTGGTGGGTTTGAGCCTCCCTTCTGATGGGTTCTGGCCACAACTGACAGACACAGGTAAGGCGGCCAGCCTGAGGCTGGCTCCTGGAAAAGAGGCTGGTATGGAAATTCAGATGAGTCTGTACCTTCAACTCTCTAAGTGCCAGACGCTTGGTGGCACTTTAAATGCCACAGATAAAACAGTGAGAGACTCTCCTGGTGGCAGGCGAGACGAGGGGTCAGGGACTTCAGTACCTCTGAGGCTCAGATCCTGGATAAAGAATAAAAACACCTTGGAGACCCCATGACCCTTCGTGCGGGGGGAGAATGTCAATGTGGCCTAGCTGTCTGTGAAAGCGTGGAGCTTTGAGGCACTCCCAGCTCAGGCATGGCAGCCGTGGGACCGAGGGCTCACAATCTGTGGGGAGCCTCCACATCCTGGGAATCAGATAAACCCCTTCAAGGCTACCAGAGGCTCAGGGAGGAACACGGAGTCTCAGAGCTCAGACCAGATCTGTCACCTTTTCAAAAAACTGCCCATATCCCTGAAAGGTAGTCACCAGTATGTGATTGGCATCTGTGAGACAGACCCTTGTGCCCTTCCTCTGATGACTACCCTTGCAATCCAATAAAGGGGGATTTGGTTTTCTATCTGCTACCTCCTCAGCTGGAACCTACACCGAACATGGGAAGTTTGTCTTGTTCACTGAAGCAACCCAGGGCCTGGGGAGGGCCTTGCATGTTGTCAGGGCTCAGATCTGTTGGCTACATAAATGGCCCACATCTGGCTGCATGGGGGAGAATGACAAGACACCATGCCTGAGTGGCGCGTGCCTCTCTCTATGGTTCCCTTCTGTCTCTGTATCTTTCCTTGACACTTCCTCATGGGCCCCCTGACTACCCTGGGGAACTGTGCTTTCTCTCAAGTGCCACTGAATGTGTACACCCTTGGAGTCTGGCTCAGAGACCCCCTTTCTCTGCCTGTCCTGTACCTACCACTGTTTCCTCTGTGAGTTTGGTCCACTGGCTCTCCCTCCCCGAGAAAGTCTTACTTGGTGATTATCTCTTGATTCTCTCTCTGGCTGAAGTGGTGAGTGGTCACCTGGATGCTGCCACTCAGAGGTCATCATTGTCTTGTCCATGACTGCCCCCCCCAACCCTGAGATTGGGGGGAGAGGAGAGGTGACATGAAGGCATGGGGTCCCCCACCGCCTCCTACATGTTTAGGTCCTGAGCACTGGCGTTTCCTTCTTCCTCAGAGCGGGTCTCCTGGGAAATGGTACTTACAGAGATTGAAGAGTTTAATACACGTCTCGCTTCCTCTTTTCGGAGGCCCTCAGAGGGAGCTGCAGAAGCTGAGGCTGGCAGGGGCACGGAGCTGCCTGGGTAAAGGAGCAGGGGAGGGGGGTGGTGGCGTGGAGTCTCAGCCAATTTGGAAAGCACCATGACCTGAGCACATTTTGCAGCAGCAATGTCAAATTCTGCCATTCAGGCATGCCATTAATGTGCACACTGCCACACAGAAACCAGTGACACAAAGGCACAGCCTTCCCCACCCTCCTGGTGCTTAGAAACTAACAGCTCTAATGAGAAATGAGAGCTGAAAGGAGAGAGATGGGGGGGCGGGCCGCAGCCGTGCAGACTGACGCGGTGTGTTGGAGGAGGCTGACCCACTTCTTTTGGAGGCAAGGGGTCTGCTGAAATGCCACTTAAATGAGCCAGTGCTCCCTACACTAGGTCTCCTTTGTCCCCACCCCTTATTACTCTTGGAGGAAGCCCCGTCGATAGAGCCCCACAGCTACTCTCTTCCCCTCCTTCTCTTTCTCCCATGGGGCTTCCTCTGTTCCTGTACCCAGTAGACTCTTTAGGCCCATCAACTACCCTGATTCCAGCAGCCTTCTTAAGATAGGCAAGGACAACTCGAGAGAGAACACGGGTGGGCATTCATTGTGCTGAGCCTCTCTGTTTTTTTTTTTTTTTTCCTGGCTTTTTGATTGTGCTGTGAGTTATTTAGCCAACAATAGATGTTTATGTATATTTTTTTGGGAGCTTGTATTTATTAACTGCCTGAAAAGGGGGGAGACTGGGAGATTTATATAGAAAGTGCAGTGAGTTAAAAGGGACAATTAGAGGAACAGAAAGAGATATTGAGCATGGGATTGTAAAGGATATTTTAAAGCACAAAGGGTCTTGAGATGTTTTCCAAGTAAGCAGAAGGTAAAAGAAAATTGGCCCATTACAAGCTGATAGTGGGGGATTGGTGACATGGGACAGAGTAATGGCTGATGGGCTAAACTTCTACTTAGAGGAGCCAGGCTGGGAGGAGATGAGCCAGAATGCCACCACAGCCAGGCCAGGTTTTAAAACAGGGGTTGTCCAGGACCCCATCAAAATGTGCACTCCCCCTTCCTGGATCGACCAATGCACACAGAGAAAGGCGGGCATCCTCCACGTCAGCATGGAGAAGGGCATTGAAGACCTGGGTCCCTTGAGGCCCAGGGTGGGGGTCTAATCAGGAATGAGTAGGAACAGCCTGGGGACTTGTGTGAATATGAGGGAGGATTTGCTGAGGGCTCCCAAATGCTCCCCGGCACACTTATTCTCTCTGGGCCTGTGGGGTGGGGTCCTGCAGCCCATCCTCCCAGAAGATTTCCTGCACCCTCTACTGGGTGCTCCTGCTTCCTCAGACTTGCTCACAGGGCTTCCTGGGCCTGCATTGGCCATGGAGTGCTGGGTGATTAGTTAAGTGATGAGTAAACATTTGCTAAGTGGGGTTCTTGGCTCCCTGGTAATGAACAGCCCTAGCAGGAGGGGGCGGGGGGTGTGCTGGAGGGGGCCCTTGTGGAGGTAGCCCAGGGTGTGTTTGGACAGGGGTATCTGGCAGACTGAGGGTCCAATGGGATGAGAGAGCCAGGAGTTCAGGCCTCCAGGCTAAATGGTTATGGGATACATTCCGAGCTTAGAAGCAGCAGGTGTCTGGGAATGGGACTGTGGCCCAGGCAGATTTCCAGGGAGCGCTCCAGCTTGCTGGCACGCAGCAAGATCTGGCTGAGCACAAGCGGCAAGTTGCGATGATGAAACCCACTGTTGAGGAACATCCGCGAGGGTGCCAGGGTGGGGACCATGCTCATGTGGAGAGGCTGGGGGGGTGCGGGAGAAAGAACCCAGGTGGGGTTTCTTCACTTCACTGCACAGTCTAAGTCTCTGAGTGGGACCCCCAGAGCCTCCCCTTTGCCACCCTGGTCTCCCAACACCCTGGCAAACAGCATTTCCGGCCCTCAACTCTGGTTGTTGGTAGAGACCCTGCTAGCGTGTGTCTCCAGCTCTCAGCTTGCAATTCTCCCCCACTCCTTTCTGGCCCATTTCTCATTCTCTGAGACCTCTGGGAGTGTCACCTTTTCCTAGAAGCCCTCTCTGATTCCCCCATCCCAGCCAAGTTCTTCCTTTTGGGGAGTGGGAGCGCGAACACAGGCTCCAATCCTATGTTAAGGAAGAATATACTCATTTCCACATCTGGGCTCAGGGGTCAATACAGAGAGTCACATCTACACCTTTTTATGTCCCCGGAGCCTGGGCAATGACTGGTACAGAGAAGCCCTTGATCAATGTTTGTCAAATGAATAGAAGTCACCTAAGCTGTGGGATCACAGAAAGAACAAAGACTACCAGGGGCCATGAGCCCCTCTGACAGAGATGACTCTGTCCTCCTGTCATCCCAGAGGGGAGAGAAGGAGAAAAGATGGTTCCTCCTATGGCTCCCCAAAAGTACTAAGCAAAGATGGCAGAGGGGCTGACCTCATCAGGAACAGAGGGGGATGATCCCAGTCCCCTCGGAGGAGGACAGGACACTCAGGAGGTGGCTGGATCTGGTGAGAGAGGCCTTGCTTAACCCCTGGCGTGTCAACCTGCTCTGATGTTTGGGGCAATGGTGTCATCTTAACCGTGGAGCATATGAGTTGCTGAGTGACAAGTGATGTCATCTGAGACAGAGCTGCCTTTATTCCTCCTAACTCCTAGAGGAGAAAGCAACTAAAAATATACGCAGTGTCCTGGGCCCAGCGCTGCCTGGCCTGTAATAACAGTGGGCAACTGGAGACTCTGCCGGGCTGGACAGAAGTGGAGCCTTTAGAAGACATTAGCATTTCTCCTTCTGACACTTCACTTCCACCGTACTGGGCTTACTAAGTCTTTTTTAAAAAATTAATAAAGTGCTTAGACTCTTGATTTTCCCACTGAGGGCCTTGCTGTCTGAAGTTGGAAATGAAATCAACAACATAACAACCTCCCTGGACTCTAAGGAACAACCAGGCCCTGGCACCGGCCTGGGTCAGAGCAGGGAGACCATTGGGAGCAACTTCGGGCTCCAGAGGATTTGTTCTACTGCCACAGGGCTCCTTTCAAGAATGTCCCAAGCCTTGTACTGAGGGGTATTGTCCAGTCAGGCCTGAAAACGTCCCTCAATCCGGGGAACCCTTTCTCCAAAGCCGGAGGCAGATGCGGACTGTGGGCCTTGTCCACTGCTGTCTCGGTCAGGCCCTGGCCACCTAGAAAGTCCTCTGGGCCCCAGGAACCTGTTGTTCCCTTCCAGTCACCGCTCAACCCCCTGAGAATCAATGACTCAGCAGCTGCTGCTGAGGCTCTTGGGAAAAGGCCGAGAAGGATCCAGGGCCAGTCTGCTCTAGGGGGAGACACAGAGATGGTGCCCACCCAGAGCAGCCAGAATGTGGGAAGTGAATCATATTGTGTGCGGGCGAGGGAAGAACCGTGGAACAGAGAACAAATGTGTGTGTGCACGCATGTGTGTGTGTGCGCATGCTTTTGTGTGTCCCTCTGAGTCAGTGTGCCCCTGTCCCCTAGAGCTCTGCCTGCCAACAAACGTGCTGTGTTCTCAGAGCAGTGCCCAGCCAGGCTCGCCCACCCCATCAAAGCCCAGGATCTGCCACCCCATCAGGAATGCGGGGTTAGGAAATGAAAAACAGGGTTCTTGTCCAAGAGAATTTTTTTATTATTATTATTTTTCTCTCTTAATTGGATTCAGTGTTTCTCACTCCTCACACACACCCTTTCTGGTGGGGAATTCAGGTTTGTGCAAAGCGCAAATTAGACTGTGCTTGCTTGGGCCCTTGTCCAGCAGCCCCTCTCCCTCATCTGGGCTTGTATGCTCGATTCCCTGCATGCTGACCCCTGAGTCTGGCCCTCTAACCTCTGCCCGGGCATCTCAGGAGCATCAGGAGGAATGGGGCTCCGTAATGCAGAAGTGCCTGAGATAGTTCCTGGAATGTCCTCATCCTTTTCCTCCCACTAAGGCTACCTGATGCTTCTCTCCTGCCCTTGCTGGGTTGCCCACCAAAAAGCCTTCAAGTTAAAAATCCAGCAGCTGAGCCATGCTGGAGCCCTGGGCTCCTGCTCAGAGTCTCCCCGGGCCTGTCCTGGCCACCTCTGGCAAAACGCTGGGCTGATGACACTGTCCAACCTGTTGGACTAACACTGTGGTTGCTGCCTTGCTTGCTGACTTAAAAAAAAAAAAAAAAAAAAAAAAACCCCAAAGACCTGTCTTTCCCCTTCTCTGTCTACCTGGCCCCAGTGCCTGGCTCCCTGGCATCCACGAGCTGCTTCCCACTTCTCACCCTGACGCCCGCAGCTTTTACAGAAGGGGTGATTGGTGCTCCAGGGCGCCAGACAGGCTTGTGTTGCATATAAAAACAAGGTGATGTTCTAAACGTCTAAGAATATTGGTCCCCTGAAATGATTCTCGCTGCCTCCCTTTCTCCCTATCCCTTCCCACTGACACCCTGCACCAGGTCCTGGCGCACCCAGGTTACATAGGGACTATTGACGCCAGGCTGGGATTCTAGACAAAAATCCTATAACTTTTTTTTTTTTCTTGCTAGAAATCACCATTACAACCCTTACCTCAGCAGATATAGTTTCCCATATAGTTTATAAACATGATAAGACATACAGTTTGGTAACGGAGTGGGGCAGGGGACCTGTGCATTTGTATATATATGTGTATATATATATATATATATATATATATGTGTGTAGTGTATATATATATAAGTGGACATAGGTATAAAACTGCACCTTCTGTGAGAATCTCATTGCATGTGATGAAGTTCTAAATTTCAGCCTCTGATGATCTTTCCTTTGGTAATTGGTTCTTGGACCCTAGCAGCTGTGCCTGGGTCTGCCAGGGTTGCCTGAGACATCAGGAATGAGAGGCATTACCCCCCCCAAGGGAGGGACCGAAGGTGGCATAGGGTTGGGTTCAGGGCAGGTTGACTAGATGACCTCAGACAAAGGCCAAGATGCCACCTGCCCCAGTACTCCCAGACTGCTGGTTGACCCAGTCAGCTCTTGGGAGAGACTTGTTTGTTCTGAGTCCTGCTCCTCCAGGAATGGCAGGGCCCTTCAGACCTCTCCAAATGATCAGGATTCCACAGAGCCCAGCTCCCACGAGGGGCACTTGTCCCAT